GTGGGGAGTTAAAGTACCCTACTATTATTGTATTACTATTGATTACTTCCTTTATGTATGTTAATAGGTTCTTTATGTATTTGAGTGTTCCCATGCTGGGTGCAGAACTATTTACAATTGTTATAACTTCTTGTTGGACTATTCCCTTTATCATTATGTAGTGTCCTTCTTTATATCTAGTTATAGTCTTTGTTTTAAATTTCTTTATTTATTTTTGAGAGACAGAGAGAGCGCGAGAGCAAGCACAAGCGTGGGAGAAGCAGAGAGAGAGGGAGACAGAATCCCAAGCAGGTTCCAGATTCCAGGCTCTGAGCTGTCAGCACAGAGCCCAGTGTGGGGCTTGAATCCATGAACTGTGAGATCATGACCTGAAGCAAAGTTGGATTCTTAACTGACTGAACCACCCACGTGCCTCTGGTCTTTGTTTTAACGTCTATTTTGTCTGATAGAAATATTACTAATTTGGCTTTCTTTTTACTTCAGCATTTGCATGATGTTTTTTCATATTTTCACTTTCCATCTGCATATATCTTTAGATCTGAAATGAGTTTCTTGTAGACATCATGTAAACGGGCTTTTTAAAAGCTATTTATTTATGTAATCTCTACCCAATGTGGGGCTCAATCTTGTTTCTTTATCCATTCCATCACCCTATCTTTTGATTGGAACATTTAGTCCATTTACATTCAAAGTAATTATTGTAAGTATGTACTTATGTCCATTTGCTACTTGCTTACAGTTCTTCTCTGTTCCTTTTCTTTTTACACTCTTCTCTCATGGTTTGCTGGTTTTCTTTAGTGATGTACTTGGATTCCTTCCTCTTTACTATTTTTTGCATATCTATGACTGGTTTTTTTTTTATATAGTTTATTTATTTTTGAGACAGAGACAGTGCATGAGTGGGGGAGGGCCAGAGAGAGAGAGGGAGACACAGAATCCGAAACAGGCTCCAGACTCTGAGCTGTCAGCACAGAGCCCAACGCGGGGCTCAAACCCACGAACTGTGAGATCTGACCCGAGCCAAAGTCGGATGCTCAACCGACTGAGCCACCCAGGCATCCTTCTATTACTAGTTTTTGATTTGTTGTTGCCATTAGGTTGGTATGTAACATCTATGCATATAGCACTCTACATCAAATTGATGGTTGCTTAAGTTTGAATCTATTCTAAAAGCACTAAATTTTTACTCCTCTTCTCCCTACATTTTAGGTGGAGAAGCACCACCTATATTTGTGGTGTCCTGCTTTATGCCCTTTTATGAATCCTTTAAATGATTTTTATAGATATACTTAATTTTACTGCTTTTGTGCTTACTACTTTTCTTATTCTTGCTTATGGTATTTCCTTTCCATTCAAAGAGCAGGCTTTAACATTTCTTGTAAGGCTGGTTTAGTGGTGATGAATTCCTTTAACTTTTATTTGTCCAGGAAAATCTCTCTCCTATTGTGAATGAAAGCCTTGACGGATAGAGTATTCTTGGTTGCAGGTTTCTTTCATTCAGCACTTTGCTTATATCATGTTTTCCTTCTGGCCCTTCTGCTGAAAAGACAACTCATATCCCTCTTTGGTTTCCCTTATATATAACTATTTTCTTTTGCAGATTTATCACTACTTTTTGCCATTTTAATTACTATGTGCCTTGGTGTTGACCTTCTTGGGTTGATTTTAGGGGGGAGCTCTCTGTGCCTCCCAGATCTGGATTTTTGTTTCCTTCCCCAGATTCAGTAAGCTTTGAGCTATTATTTCTTCAAATAACATTTTCTCCCCTACTTCTCTCCATCTTCTCCTTCTTGGATCTCTATAATGTGAATGTTACTATACTTGATGGTGTGACTGAGTTCCCTTGACCTATTTTCATTTTTTATTACTCTTTTTTCTCTACCCTGTTCAGTTTGATTGCTTTTTATTATTCTGTCTTCCAGGCCAATGATCCATTCTTCTGCTTCCTCTAGTCTACAATTTTTTCCCTCTAGTATACTTTTTCAGTTATTGAGTTCTTCATCTCTGGCTGTTTTTTTTTTATATTTTCTCTCTTTGTTGAGGTATTTTCTCCACTCCAGTGTGTATCTTTATGACCATTAATTTATTTTTGACAAGGAGTAGAATTTATTGGTGGGCCTGAATAAGGAGGGGCCAGTGCTGAGGTTCTCATGAGTGCTAAGACCACCACTGTTCCAGGGGCCACAATTTGGGATGTATTTGATGCTATGGCCATCTGAGATGTCTTGAAGGTCCCTTGGACCACCCATACTATCAACAGGCTATGTAATCATACACTGCCAAGGAGGCTACTCTTTGCAGCCATTGTACACTAGGCCCCATGGGAAAAAAGCGCAGTATGACCATTACTTTTTAATTGTCTATCAGACATATTGGTTTTCTCCCTTTCCTTTAGCTCACTTGCTGTGATTTTGTTCTGTTCTTTGATTTGGGGTATATTCCTCTGTCTCCTCATTTTGTCTAACTCTCTGTTTCTCTGTGTTAGGAAAGTCAGCTGTATCTCCTGCTCTTGAAAGTAGTGGCCTTATGGAGAAGAGGTCCTGTAGTGCCCTGCAGTGCAATGTTCCATGTTCACCAGAACCTGGTGCTTCAGGGTGTCTCCTATGTGTGTTGCATGTGCCCTACTTTTGTGGCTGAGTCATATTTGCCTCCAGTCCAGTTGTCTGCAAAGATTTTCTGCCTATTGTGGGCAGAGTTTGGTCCCTGTGTTATAATTTGGCTAGTTGGGTGTCACTTTGGGCTTGATTTGGGTCAGCCCAGATGTCTGCAGGGGCTGCAGGGTGCTCTCTCCAGGTTGACCCTGGAAGGCTTTTGTTGGGTGGGCAAGGCCTGCAGTCAGACCACATCTGCTCACTGCTGGGTCCAAAATTGAATTGGTGTGTGTGTAATTATCTTTTCTCTCTGGAGTAGGTAGTCAGTTTGGAGTGGAGTTAACCTATTGGGGCTGTTTGTACAATGCCAGGTTTGTGGCACTGCTCTGGATGAACACCTACTGAGTGGAGCAGTTTGGAGAAGGTGGATGCATGGGGAAACACAGGGTGGAGCATGTTGTTAGCAAGCTAAGTGGAGAGTCTGTATGCTGTGCTGGTCCATAATTATAGGTGTCCATTTGTCTAACGTGGGATTGAGGGAGGGAAATAGCACATGTCAGCGCTTTGATTTTTGGAGAAATCTCCTAAAGATCTTTGCCCCCAGCACATGTTCTGAGATTAGTAAATAAATCTTCCCATTCACTCAAACTGCTGCTTCCAAGCTGTATCTCAATGGGGCTGTTTGTTATGCTGGCTCTTTAAGGGTGGGGACTATTTCCTATTGTTCTGGCTCTCCTTGAGCTAAATCATTGATTTTTAAAGTTCCAGGTATTGACCCCTACTGATTGTAAAACTTGTAAAGTTAAGCCCCTCTCATTTTCCAAAGGCAAATGTTATGGGGACTCATCTTCCCAGTGTAGGTCCTCTTTCCCTGGGGCACCTGGTGTGGGGTCTGCTCCTCTCCTTTCTCCATATTTGTGGTGTCATGAAGAGTCTCATGGGCCAGTTTAGTTCTTGACCATGTCTCCACCCTTTCTACTATTTTTGATGTGGATATATATTTAGCTGGGGAGAGTCTGTTCTGCCAGTCTTCAGGTCATTTTCTGAGTTATTTACACTGATGTGGGGGTTATCTAGGTGTATCTGTGAGACAAGGTGAGCTTAGGATCCTCCTACTTGGCCATCTTCCCAGGAAGTTATTTCACTTATATACATGTCTGGTTGCACTCCTCTCTCTGGTAACCAGGCACCAATAGTCTAAAAGCTCCAGAGGAGTATTCTCATTTTAACACAATTTTTTTTCTCTGCCTCTATTGACTAAAACCATCAATCTTCAAAACATGCCACTTCTGACAAATAGTAAGTGAAGGTATTTATACTTAGATACAGTCCTGGAAGAAAAGAAAAGACATCTGTAGCACAGGCAGAACAGCAGAGTAGCTTTAGGATCTTCAAGTATCCCAGTTTTCCAATACCTACCTTGCATGTGTCCCACCTCCAAAAGGATACTACAGTTGGAAAATCCTGCATATTGTCAACATTTGCTTTATTTTTAAATTTATTTTGGGGCGCCTGCGTGGCTCAGTTGGTTGAGCGTCCAATTTCGGCTCAGGTCATGATCTCATGGATCGTGGGTTCGAGCCCCATGTCAGGCTCTGTGCTGACAGCTAGCTCAGAGCCTGGAGCCTGTTTCAAATTCTGTGTCTCTCTGACCCTTCCCTGCTCACACTCTCTTTCTCTCAGAAATAAATAAAACATTAAACATTATTTATTATTTTTTTTTTTGAGAGTGCATGCATTCAAGTGGGGGGAGAGGCAGAGGGAGAGAGAGAATCTTAAGCAGGCTCCACACTCCATGTGGGGCTCTCACCATCATGAGATTATGACCTGAGCTGAAATCAAGAGTCAGCCGCTTGACTGAGCCACGCAGGCACCCCAAATTTTGCTATATGTTTAAAAAAAATAAAATCACAAAATACACCTCTTTTGGGAACTTGGGAAGTTCCTCTTAAAGGAAGGTTTGGCTTTTGATAGTCTGTCACTCTAACGAGAACTGCACCCCATCTATATATAGTAGAGATGGTTGTCTTCTGGAATCAGATAGCATGAAGAAAAGTTGACAAGCTCTAAAATAAGAAAACTCAGTAATATTTCTGCTCATTTTAAATCTCAGGGATATTGAAAATAGTTTATATTTTTTTAAAATCACAAGGTGAAGCATTTACATTGGCTTACCTTTTTCTTTCCATTTTTTTAAAATGTTTATTTTATTGATTTTTGAGAGAGAGAGAACAAGCAGGGAGGGGCAGGGATAGAGGGAAAGAGAGAATCCCAAACAGGCTCCATACTATCAGGTCAGAGCAGAGCAAGATATAGGGCTTAATCTCACAAACTGTAAGATCATGACCTGAGCCAATATCCAGAGTTGGATGCTTAACCAACTGAGCCACCTGGTCACCCTTGGCTTACCTTTTTCTTTGACAAAGTCCTTTTGGACCTCTGGAATCAGGAAACTATAAACCAACTCAGCAACAATCTCCTCTGACTGAAGCTGAGTTCGACTATAAAATTAAAAAAAAAAATTATTTCTTTTGTTGCCTTACGTAAGCTGCTGATTTTATACTTAGTTTTTTCTTGCTTGTGTAAGAAACTCCACTGTTTAAATCCCACCACTGCCTTTTCTTTGATTAAGTACTCTGAACTCTTAAGACTCCTAAGGGTTTGACTTCGTCCTTCATTTAGCCTGCCTGCGAGGAAAGGAATGTTAGAGAGAGAACTTATATAAGAAGCCAAAAACTTTGGGGTGAAGTAATACTGCACATACTTATTCACATTGCTCTCATGCTCTGTGATAAGTAAGTAATATGGAAGCAATCCAGACTATAGAGAAAAACTAAAAATTGTATTTCTAGTGCTCTTGCTATACAAAGGTACAGGCATATTGACTTCTGAAGAGTTATGTAGCTAAAACAATGGACACTGAAACAAAAGTTATATACTTGTTTCTCCTTGCCTGTAAAATCATAAGCTCTTGAAAAATATATATGAGCAAATAGGTAGTCCATTCTGCCACCTGTTCTCTCAGTACAAACCGGCTCTCCATTTCATAAGCAATGTCATTGATTTCCACAGCCATCTTCTCAATTTCTGCCCTGGCTTGTTCCTCTGCAGTATTCTCTTCGGTATTCAGTATTATGTCTTCCAGATAAGAAGTTACTGTACTTTGGTGAACTTTAACCACCTGCAGAAACCAAAAGTAAGCCCATTACTGAGAACAGGAATAGTACTGTAAATAAGATTCAAAAACTGCACAAACATTGGTTGACTTTTTTTTTTAAGCACATCTATTTTGTTCGTTAAGTCAACAGTCCCCTCATTGATCTTTTTTTTTTTTTTTTTAAACTGTCTGGTCAGTCTCTTTCTAGTCCACCTACCTGCCCATTCTTGGCAGCCCCCATCCATCTAGCCCATTTTAGAATGATGGGTCTTACTCAGGGTGGGCAGTACAAACTGCAGAAAGATCATTGGCTCCAATCAATTACCTTGTTTTGGATCCTGGCCTTGTTCTTACCAGCAGTGTGACTTAATCAAACTGCCTGACTATGGCAGAGACTGAGAGGATTTCCCAATGTCCTTTTCTCTCCTTTGTCTTACACAACAGAGCCCCTGAGCCAAGAAGTATCTAGAATAAAGACTATATTTTCTAGTTCCCATAGTTCTGGTTGAGGCAGTACATGAAGGATTTTTAAAGGGAATTTGTTTTCTTTTTTCATTTCTCATTTCATGGGGATGTAATGCTGGAGAACCAGAAATCATCTTAAACTACCATGAAGGCCATGCCTTAAGGAAGAAAAGCAGAAATCTACAAGGATCCTGTGGCTCTGATGAATTTTTGAACTATCATACGTTGGACTGCTGCTGCTTTAAGCTTTCCTGAAATTGGGAAATAGAACAAACATTTAGAAAAGTGCATAGTGACAGATGTACAGTGTAATGAATTACAGTAAATCCAGTACCCATGTAGCTACTGCGAGAATTCTAGAAGGTTGCTATAGGTTCTTCCTAACCACAGCCCCTTTCCACTCATGATTTTATGGTAAACACTCTCATTTCTTTATTGTTTTGCTCCTTAAGTATGAAACTGTAAACAGTACAGTTCAGTTTTGCCTGTTTTGTCAGTAGATGTGCAGGAAGTATCATAAGCATCAAGTGCCCCATACTTAGTTTTATATGCATTCTGGCTCAACAAATTTTGAGCTTCTTGGGGGAAGGGTGCCTTTCTATTTCATGTCTGAATATTTCTTTACACCTCAGATAATGCTTTGGGACTCAGTAACAACTCAGTCAAGTTTTTCTTGATTGGCAGTGCAGTAGGACTCTAAGTATGTAATGTTTAGTGTACACCTACTGGTAAAACACCATCCATAACCTTGAATCCCTAGACCTACCCTATGGATGAGACCCAATGACCAGTTTAATATGGTATCAACAAAGCAGCCCACCAACCAAAATATATTTGCTGACTGTCTTATGTGCAGAGATCTATGCTGGTGCTATGGAAGAGGCAAAGGGATAAACTGTATGCCTGCTCTCACCAAACTCACAGTCTTTTCAGTAAGCAAGCTGTACCTGTATGGAGCAATGACACAGCTGAGTCTTATAACAGTTCAGAGGTGGGAGGTTTAATGTGGCCCACCTCTAGCAGTATATGTACTTGTGCGTTTACATATACCTTTATAAATGTGTCAGTTTCTGGACCCATTTGTGCTTGTATGTGCTTGAATAAGGAAACATATAGGTGGCTGTACGTGTGTTTACATGTGTTTCTCCTATATACCCTGCATTATGCTTGTGAATGTCTTTGAATATGTGCAGGCACAGGTGTCTGTGTTTAAATATGAGTCTATAACTTTCTGTATCTTCATTTCTCAATGTGTTCTTTTTCTCGAAATTTACTTAATGTATACACTTCAATGTTTTGGTATATTTATGTGCAAGCATATTTATCTTTAAAAGGGTCATATGAAGGCAGATTAGAAATTTAAGTGATGGATGGTATTTGAATCTGAGGTCCACAAAGTGGTATGCTGTTTACATAAATGGTCCTTAAATCAGGATGGAAGGGTCATCTTAGCCCTTTCTTGCCCTTCCTAGAAATGGCTGACATTTCCTGGGGTCATTCCCACTTAGAAGGTACCTTCCTAGAAGATTTTACCTCCTTCTTCCTTTCTGTGTTTTTGAGCACAGTGGTTCCTGTGTCCCTTTCCTTTTTATTCTCACCCCCAGGTTGATTCTTCTCATCTCAGCTGGTTTCTCCTTAGAAATTATTAGCCAAACTTACTATCCCTACCTAATATCACTAAGTCTCAAAAAGCAACTCTTTTTGAAGCAAAATGTGTTAAGACGGTAGGAAGCGAGAATATGGATTATAAGCTCATAAACATTATAGATGATCTGCCCCTCCAGTTAAAAAGTTGAACTTCATGTAACTCAAAATTTGAACTGTATAAAGGGAGAGCAATCTGTTTGGTTTAAAAAAAAAAAACCAACCTTGAAATCCATACATAAAATACTATTCACAAATCAATCCCAATTTCATGAGAATTGGGTAAATCCTGAAAATCTTAGATCAAATAAGATCTCAAATGAATGCATATTTTTTTTAACTTAGGAGCTCAAAATTATGCATACATACATTTCAGACAGTTCTCCTGGACAAGAAATTTTTTATGTTCCACATTGGCTTTCTCTCTTTCCCATGTGGCCCACATCTTGTTCAAGAGAAACTCTCACACAGCCTTTGCCTTGACTATTCTGGGTGTGCTGGCCACACATACAGCCTCATCTATGTCCACCTACAAAGCAGCTGGTTAGCCCAGCTCCCCTCCTCTCCATTCCTAGGAGGGGCAGACATTCTAACTGGAAGAATACTTATAAAGCTCTCCAGTGACTACAGGAAAAGAAACCAACCTCTGGGTGTATGCTGGGAGGGGGACAGTCACAGCACAGTCCCTTTTAAAGAAATCTTCCTCATCATCCCCTCCAATTTTAACACTTGAGGCTTTATGTACATTTATATATAATGTGTACACACACACACACACACACACACACACACACACGTATATGGTTTGTTTTTTTCTTTTTTAAGAGAGAAGGAGGACATGGGTGGGGAAGGAAAGAGAATCTCAAATAGGCCCCATGCTCAGTGCAGAGCCCAAAGTGGGACTCTATCCCATGACCTAAGCTAAGCTAAAATCAAGAGTGAGATCCTCAATCAACTTTATATCTTGAATTTATATCTTGCTCATTACATGTTGGTCAGAATTCTAATTTACCAACCTGGTACTCTAGTTGATGTCTTTTTTTTTTCTTTATTTGTTTTGAGAAAGAGAAGGAAAGAGGGAATCCCAGACAAGCTCCCTGCTATCTGCGTGGAGCCTCGCAAAGGGCTCAATCTCACGAACCATGAGATTATGACCTGAGTCAAAACCAAGAGTTGGAGGCTCAACCAACTGTGCCACCCAGGTGTCCCTCTTGTTTGTATCTCTAGCTAAAACCTCTCTTCTAAATTTCATCTTGTCTATCTACCTGCTGAAATGACACCTCCACTAGAATGTCTCAAACCTAATATAAATCAAATTCCTGTTTCTACCCCTGCCCCGAAACTAATTCCACTCAAAAACAGTATCATCTTCCCAGTTACTATATCCAGATACCGTACATCTTCCTTGACTTCTTGTTTCTCATTGGCCTCAACTTCTTTAATAGCCTCCTTCCTGATCCCCTGTTCCCACTCTGTCTTCCCTCCAACCTGTTCTCCACACACCAAGCAGAGTAACCTGTTTAAAATGCATCATTGGGCCCCATCTGTTTCCTTCATGAAGCTTACTATATTTTCTAATTCTACACATATCTGCATATTATCTAGTATTTAAATTTTTTTAAATGTTTTATTTATTTCTGAGAGAGAGAGAGAGTTAGAGGGAGAGAGGCAGCATGAGCAGGGGAGGGTCAGAGAGAGAGGGAGACACAGAATCTGAAACAGGTTCCAGGCTCTGAGCTAGCTGTCAGCATAGAGCCCGAAGCAGGGCTCAAACCCACAGTGTGAGACCATGACCTGAGCCAAAGTCAGATGCTTAACCCAATGAGCCACGCAGGCGCCCCTCTAGTATTTAAGCCCCAGGAGAAAAGGGACCACGTCTGGTTTCCCACTGTGCCCAGCATATCGTAGGAACTCAATACCTATTTGTAGAACACGACGAAAAACAAAGGGCATTTCACATCACAAGTTTCATTTGGTTTGACTCGGCTCCTTACACACAAACAGCTTCCAGACATCCAGCTGCCCCACTTGCCTCCTTAAATATCTGGTCCTCCTCCCGCAGGCGCCTTTGCTCCACTTGGCGCCGACCACTCTCCTCAGCTTCTCGTATCCTCCGCTGCCGCTCGGCCAGCATGGCGAAAGCATGGACCCTCCTCTCCTCCTGTAGTCTCACCAGCTCTTTGGACAGGAAGTCAAACATGTCTGCCAGCACTCTTCCTTCCAGTCCAGCCAAATGGTTTTCAACCAGTGACACCTGAAAAATAATAATACATCTTAAGGAGACAAGTTCTACTAAGCATGATGATTTGTAAGGAGGGTTGCTGGATTACCCAGAACTCTTGACAGTCACCTCACTTTCAGAATGCTCTCAGTGTATAAACACCTGGCCAGCCCCATCCCAAGTGTTCTTACTACGAAAACAGGATACAAACTGAGATGTGAGAAAGTGGATTGTGCAGTCAGTCACTGACAGATTACAGTCCTCAGATTATGAGGAGGACTTAGCAAAACACTTCTATTAGTATCCACACAAACTGGGTGTTTCTTTCTTTCATTTTTATCCAGAAGGTAAAGTTATTCTATCTTCCCAGACATGAAGGGAAATGCCAAGGTTTTTATTGAAAAAAATTGATGGAGTTCAAAAAAAGAGAGTCCCCTAGAAATTCACCCGGATACCTTTTAATTTTTTAATGCTTCATCCTTTGACACAAGTTTGGGGAATTTTAAGATCCTGAATACATGAAAGTAGAAAACTGTGGCCCTTTTTATTCTTTTAAATAACTTCAAAGTCATTAAGAACTATCTTTGAAACAGCATAGGAAAAAGCCTACAGGGCATTTTTCCATCCAGTTCCTGGGTCTTCCAGGACACGCTGCTCCCATCTGAACAGAAGTGCACCCCGTCTCTATCACCTGCAGGACCCTCAGACCTCCAGATTCAGAGACTCTAGTGTCCGTATTCTCTTCTTTCTCTGGCCCCTCTGTTGGGTCTCACAGCCTATGGGTTTCTTCATCCCTCTGCTAAACTGAGACCATCCACAAGCCTGATGCCATGTAAAAGGAATAATGTGCTCATTTCCAAGCTGCTAACCATTTGTGCCCAATTCCACATGACACAAGCATTCACATCCATTACTGAGGGTGGGCCATATTAACTTCAGTATACGCTTATTTTCATATAGCACTATACTGTGCAAATTGATTCTTTTTCATACTGATTTACAGATAAGTGAGAGAGATAGTAAAAGTATGTCTACTCTGTAGTCAGCAACATTAATAACTGTATATATAGACAAATGCCAGAAGAAAATAGGAAAAACATTTACAGTTGCTGGGGTAGAGCTGCAATAACCAGCTATTGTCAGGTGGCACTGATGACAGTCACAGAACACCATGAGATATTAACATTTAATATGGAGTTTAACCAGCATGAACTATGTACTGCTCATACATAGACTCATACAATAGTCATACAACTATGTACAAGACTCATAAATAAGTGCTGATATTTTAAAAATAAATCTCATGTCTGTCTTTTAGTATTGCATTTATTATTTTTCATTCTGCCAAGCTCCCAATGAAATTTGGTATAGTCACCAAATATTTAAGAAAATTGAAAGGCAAAAACCTTTTTAAAATGTGTTTTTCCTCTTTCTCTCTCTCTCTTTTTTTTTTTCAAATATAAGACCATGCTCAGCTCAGTGAGGACATACCCCATTCCAGTTCTGCAGCACCATTGTTCCAAAGTGCCGACTGTGATAGAGTGATGGGATTGGGCAGAATGTTTCTTTTTTTGTCATTTCATTTACTACTTCATTATAAAGCCGCTTGTGCAATTATACAAATCCAGGAGAAAACATAACAGGAAAAAAAAGGAGAGAACCTTGTGCTCATGCAAGTTCCTCTGTCGCTGTAAGGCCAGGGTCACTTGCTTCTCAGCTTTCTTCAGCAGCCGGTCATCCTCTTGTAGTGCATGGCTGGTGCGCAGCTCCTGGATCAGCTCCAGTCGCTTTTCCTTGCCTTCAAACATCTATATTGAATCAAATCAAAAAGACCCTTATAATTAGCATCCCTTGTGTGGGGCACCAGGGCTCATGCACGGACTGGTGAGGCACTTGTGAACCGTGGTTTTGGTTCTGCATTCTGGGACCACAGGGCAGGGGTGTTCCACAGAGCTGGAGGGCATCTCCCTTTTCTACACTTCCAGCTGCTCAAGTAGAGAAAGAGATTAGTTAGCAGTTGTTTACTCAGTTTCTTAAAATGCCTCTCAAAGACCAGCAGTTACTACAGAGTCATATTAAGAAACTAGAACCAGAGCGCCTGGGTGGCTCAGTTGGTTATTTCAGCTCAGCTCATGATCTCAACAGTTGTGAGATTGAGCCCTGAGTCAGGCCCTGCACTGGGCGTGGAGCCTACTTGGGATTCTCTCTCCCTCTGCCCCTCCCCAACTTAAGTACGTGCACGTGCGCGCACACGCGCGCGCACACACACACACACACACACTCTCTCTCTCTCTCTCTCTCTCTCAAATAAAAAATTAAGAAAAAAGAAACTAGACCTTCCCCTCATTTTCTGTGCTCCTTCCCTAAAAAGCCTGAGGCCATGTTTTCTTTTCCAAGAGATCCATGCCTGGTTTGTAATATGCAGTCAGCTGTGAATTTTTTCCTAGGGAAATATTCAAGGAGAGTAAAGAATAAAGCTGAACACAGGATGCTCACCCAGCTTCCTGGACTTACTAATTATAACTGAGTCTCTATGAGTTATAGCTGTGTGAGGAGAAAAAAATTTTTTGCTGTTGCTTTATATTAGTTCACTTTAAAAGTGAAGTGTGCTTGCACAAATAATTTTACAGTCAGGGAAGAACAGAGTTCAATTTGCTAGGAGTTAACATAATCTCAAACTCAAATCACTTACCTATAAAATGGGGTAATTGATAGAATAAAAAAGAGGTGATATAAGTAAAGCAAAGAATATATAATGTAAGCTTATTGTATGAGTTCAAAACTATAGTTATTATTACTTTGCTATTTATTATTCTGGTCTTGCTAGCTATATACAAACTCAATTATATTATGACTTTGTGTAAAATTAGGGAGTCCACTTGGTTTGTGATCCCTTAATAGCAAAAATTCAGGGGCATTGCTGACTTAGTTGGAAGAACATGAAATTCTTGATCTTGGGGTCATGAGTTCAAGCTCCATGTTGGGTGTAGAGATTACTTAAATAAATAAATAAATAAATAAATAAATAGTTTTTAAAAGTGAAAACTTAGGTAGGAAAATTGCTGGATTTAGCAGTCCTAAGGAGGATATTCATTTCACCTTGCCCTGGTTACAACTGTGACCAACAGCAGGCAGGTTCTTTATCTCCTTGACACTGTGCCAGCACTTGGACAAACTGAAACAGTAGAAGGGAATGGGTAGGTAACTCAAGAGTATAGAGTTCCATAGGAAGGCAGGGTGCCCGAGGGAATTCACCCTGAGAAACCGAGCACATATGCATTCTATAAATCCATTCTCAAAGGAGAAGCACAGGACCAGTGGTCGAACCCTACAAACCGTGTTCTGAATGACTCTTCCCCGGAGTAACTTTTGAAGGTAGATCACAGCCATCTCTATATCTTCTTCTTCCTAAAAGAACAAAGTGAGAACCACGCCACTTGAGAAGAGCAGCAGTCAGCATCAAATATTTTTTTGAAGACACAGATCAAGCAAAAGAGACTGCGCTATATGCCAGAGACTTAAAGACAAATAAATGAGGTCTATGCTCTCATTGAACATACAGTATTTTAAGTGCTACCGTATTGTTTAAATTTATTCTTTATAATCATAAGACATTATTACAAATCATATCAAAAGTAAAAAATTCATGCTATCCCTACAAATTAAGCCATTTTCATTTTTCTATATTCCTTTCCAGCAAAATCTTTCTTGGAACAACAAGTAATGCTTATTACATCCCTTTTCCAATAGTGTTTTCATGCTTGATCAAGAGTAGACAAGAAATAAAGCTAGTCTGTGTCAGAGTCTAGAGTAAGGTGTTTCTCACAACAATTTAGATAAGCTGGTAAAATCTGAATGGACAAGATTAGCCATCTACAAAAATCACCTTAAATAACTGTGTGTCAAAAGCAGAAAGCAGAGTCTGTAAATCTAATTAAGGTGCCTTTGAATGCAAAAGAAAGCAACAGAAATGAACAGCATTCACACATGTGAGAGACAATGGGTTAACCACAGGGAGTGACTGGCACAAAGTCTAGCAAAGGGCATGTCCAGTCGCTCCACAGTCACTCCATCAGAGGTCCTAATGAGATCTCCTGTCAACTCCCCACCGACAACCTTCTCAGTACAATGTGGCTTCTTGTGAGAAGCAGCCTATGCCGGGATGATGAGCTGACTTGCTAAGAGGAATGTCCTCATCTACCAGGCAATTATCCTTTGGTCAAGCATGATGTTTGGACTGTGGTATCTCTAGCAGTTTCTTGGGTGGGGGGTGGGGGCTGTCTAGTCTGAGTCAGTCCTAAATCCTGACACTGGTACCTCGCTCAAACAGAGTTTGGAGGTCTATCAAGGTGAGGTATGATCCAGGTCAGGGTGACCTTTTTGAGCCAGTCCTACCTCAGAAGCCAACCTGTCCTCATGACATCCCTGGTGCTTCACTCTTCTCTGACACCAGCTGTCATCAGCCACCTCGCCATGTGAGCAAAATGGTTATAGTAACTGATTATCACTCAATCTTCTTTTTTGATTTGACATACATGAGGATTACCTTCTGATGCCTATTTTGCTTAGGAAGATTCTGTTGTGCTTATTCGTGTATGTTTGATGTTTGAAGCATAAGAATACATGCCATATAAGATCTTCAGAAGGTAACGCTATTAAATTAGGTTGGACAGGAGGCAAGATGGCTGAGAAGTAGGGAGCTACATACATTTCACTCGCCCACAACTCTCAAACGGAGAAGGCCTGAAGCCATAGGAACCCTTACAGAATCTAGGAGTTTGGGAGGAAAAGGAGACAGAGTCCACTGAGAAAACAACCTTATAGTGGCTACCTCAAGAATCAAGCCAAAGTATACATGGTTGAGAGTCCCAATACCACTACAAGTAGGGAAATAAAATAACCAAAGTCTCAACAAGAGAGACCAAGAGACACCATTCAAAGAACACTTTCTGAACAGACTGGCCCTAGACAGTCAAAGACCCTCTTTAATACAGCAGTACTCGCAGGTGCAGAGTGCATAACAAGCTTTTAAAACTAACAAGAGACAGAAAGCTAGCCAAAATGATGAAACGGAAGAACTCTCCTCCAAGAAATTCCAGGAAGAAGTGACAGCTAAAGAACTGCTCAACACAGATATAAGCAACATAACTGAACAAGAATTTAGAACAATACTCATAAAATTCATCGCTGGGCTTGAAAAAGGCATGAAAGACATCAGAGAAACTAATGCTACAAAGACTATGGAGCTTAAGAATTGTTGTGATGAATTAAAAAATGCTATAAATGAGATGCATAATAAAATGGAGGCGTCCAATGCACAGATTGAAGAAGCAGAGAAAATAGGTGAATTAAAAGACACAATTATAGAAAAAGAGGAAGCTAAGAAAAAGAGAGATAAACTACTCCAGAAAAACAAAAGGAGAATTCGAGTGCTAAGTGACACAATCAAACAGAACAATATCTGTATCATAGGAATTCCAAAAGAGGAAGAAAGAGGGAAAGGCGTTGAAGGAGTCCTTGAACAAATTAGAGCCGAGAACTTCCCCAATCTGGGGGAAGGAAACAGACATTGAAATCCAAGACACACAGAGGATATCCCTCAGATGTAACTTGAATCGATCTTCTGCACAACATATCATAGTGAAACTGTCAAAATGTAAGGACAAAGAGAGATCCTGAAAGCAGCTAGAGAGAAAAGGGCCTAATATACGAAGGGAAATCTATCAGAGTGGTGACAGACCTATCTACTGAAACTTGTAAGGCCTGAAAGGAATGGCAGGAAATCTTCAATGTGATGAACAGAAAAAATATGCAGCCAAGCATCCTCTATCCAGTAAGCCTGTCATTCAGAATAGAAGGAGAGATAAAAGTCTTTCCAAATAAACAAAACTTGAAAGAATTCATCACCACTAAACCAGCACTACAAGAAATCCTGAGGGGGACTCTATGAGGGTAATGTTGCAAGAAACACAAGATACCAGAGACACCACCACAAGCATGAATCCTACAAAGGACACAATGACTGTAAACCCATATTTTTCAATAAGAACACTGAATGTAAATGGACTAAATGCTTCAATCAAAAGACGTAGGGTAGCAGAATGGATACTAACACAAGATCCATCTATTTGCTGTCTACAAAAAAATTCATTTTAGACCTGAGGACACCTTCAGATTGAAAGTGAGGGGACGGAGAAATATATATCATGCTACTGGAGGTCAAAAGAAAGCTGGAGTAGCTATACTTATATCAGACAAACTGGGCTTTAGAGATGGCAACAAGGGATGAAGAAGGGCATTATATAATAATTACAGGGTCTATCCATCAGGAAGAGCTAACAATTATAAATATCTACACACTGAATATGGGAGCACTCAAATACATAAAACAATCACAAACAGAAACAATTTTATGGATAAGAATGTGCTAATAGCAGGGGACTTTAATACTCCACAGCAATGGATAGATCAACGAGACAGAAAATCACTAAAGAAACAATGGACCTGAATGACACATTGGACCAGACAAATTTGACTGCTATATTTAGAACTCTACAACCTGTGGCCATGGAATTCACTTTCTTCTCAAGTGCACATGGCACATATTCCAAGATAGATCACATAGTGGGACATAAAGCAGCCCTCAACAAATATAAAAAATTGAGATCATACCATACACACTTTCAGATCACAATGCAATGAAACTTGAAATCAACCACAGGAAGAAGTCTGGAAAACCTCCAAAAGCATGGAGGTTAAAGAACACCCTACAAAAGAACGAATGGGCCAATCAGGCAATTAGAGAAGAAATTAAAAAATACATGGAAACAAATGAAAGCGAAAATACAACAATTCAAACTGTAGGGGATGCGGCAAAGGCAGTCCTAAGAGGAAAGTACACTGCACTCCAGGCCTATTTCAAGAAATTAGAAAAAGCACAAGAACAAAATCTAACAGTGCACCTAAAGGAACTAGAGGGAGAGCAACAAGAGCACCCCAAACACAGTAGGAGAAGAGAAATAATAAAAATCAGGGCAGAAATAAACAATATAGAACCCCCCCAAAAAAAACAGTTGAACAGATCAATGAAACTAACTGTTGGTTTTTTTAAAAAATAAACAAAATTGACAAACCTTTCTAGCCAGGCTTCTCAAAAAGAGAGAGTACCCAAATAGACAAAATCGTCAATGAAAAAGGACTTAGTACAACCAACCCCACAGAAAGACAAGCAATTATCAGGGAATACTATGAATAATTATATGCCAACAAACTGGTCAACTTAGAAGAAATGGACAAATTCCTAAACACACACTCACTACCAAAATTCACATGGGAAGAGACAGAAAATCTGAACAGACCCATAACTAGTGAAGAAATTGAATCAGTTACCAAAAATCTCCCAACGAATAAGAGCCCTGGGCCAGATGGCTTCCCTGGGGAATTCTACCAGACATTTAAAACAGAATTAATACCCATTCTTCTCAAGCTATTCCAAAAAATAGACATCGAAGGAAAACTTCTGGACTCATTCTACGAAGCCAGCATCACTTTGATTCCCAAGCCAGACAGAGACCCAGCCATAAAAGAGAACTACAGGCCAATATCCTTGATGAATATGGATGCAAAAATCCTCAAGAAGATACTTGCAAATCGAGTTCAACAGCACATAAAAAGAATTATCCACCATGATCAGGTGGGATTCATTCCTGGGTTACAGGGCTTGTTTAATATTCGCAAATCAATCAATGTGATACATCACATTAACAAAAGAAAAGATAAAAAACATATGATCCTTTCAATAGATGCAGGAAAAGCATGTGACAGAATACAGCGTCCCTTCTTAATAAAGACCCTCGAGAAAGTCGGGACAGAAGGAACTTACTTAAACGTCATGAGAAGCCCTCAGCTAACATCATCCTCAATGGGGAAAAACTGAGCTTTCTCACTGAAATCAGGAACACGACACGGATGTCCACTCTCACCACTATTGTTTAACATAGTGCTGGAAATCCTAGCATCAGCCATCAGACAACAAAAAGCAATAAAAGGCATCAGAATTGGTAAAGAAGAAGTCAAACTTTCACTTTTCGCAGACAACATGATGCTCTACATAGAAAACCTGACAGACTCCACCAGAAGCTACCAGAACTGATCCATGAAATCAGCAAAGTTGTAGGGTACAAAATCAGTGTACCGAAATCGGTTGCATTTTTATACACCAATAGTGAAGCAACAGAAAGAGAAATCAAGAAACTGATCCCATTCACAATGCAAAAATGAACTATTGGAACCTCATCAAGATAAAAAGCTTCTGCAAAGGAAACAATCAATAAAACTGATAGGCAACTGACTGAATGGGAAAAGATAGTTGCAAATGACATATCAGATAAAGGGCTCGTATCCAAAATCTATAAGGAACTCACCAAACTCCCCACCTGAAAAACAAATAATCCAGTGAAGAAATGGGCAGAAGACAGGAACAGACACTTCTCCAAAGACGACGTCCAGATGGTCAACAGGCACATGAAACGATGCTCAGCGTCCCTCATCATCAGGGAAATACAGATCAAAACCACACTGAGCTACCACCTTACGCTGATCAGAGTGGCTAAAATGAACAAATCAGGAGACTCTAGATGGCTGTGAGGTTGTGGAGAAACAGGCACCCTCCTACACTGCTGGTCGGAATGTAAACTGGTGCAACTCCTCTGGAAAACAGTGTGGAGGTTCCTCAAAAAATTAACAATAGAACTCCCCTATAACCCAGCAATAGCATTGCTGGGAATTGATCCAAGGGATACTGGAGTGCTGATGCATAGGGGCACATGGACCCCAATGTTCATAGCAGGACTCTCATCAATTGCCAAAACACGGAAAGAGCCTAAGTGTCCATCAACTGACCAAGATGATGTGGTTTATCTATACAATGGAATACAACATGGCAAATAGAAAGAATGAAATCTGGCCATTTATAGCAACATGGATGGACCATGAGAGTGTTATGCTGAGTGAAATAATTCAGGCAGAGAAGGACAGATACCATATATTTGCACATATAGATGGATTAGGAGGAACTTAAGGTAGGACCATGAGGGAGAAGAATGGGACAAATAGTTGGGGAGAGGGAGGCAGGCAAACCATGAGAGACTCTTGAATCCTGAGAACAAACTGAGGGCTGATTGGAGTTGGTGAGGGGGAAGAGGGTTAATGGGCATGGAGGAGGGCACTTGTGATGAGCACTGGGTGTTATATGGAAACATACTTGACAATAAACTAAGAAAGAAAAATAAAAAATTAGGTTTGTTTTTAACTCAAAGTATCTAAGACAAACAGCAAAACTGAATTTAGCATTTCAAATCAAGTTTCATACTTACATTGGAACTCATTTCCAAAGTTGGAGTTGGAAGTCGAGGTTCAGGTAGTGACCTTCTTTGAAGAAAGCGCAGAAGTTTCTTTGGTTCAATAACTTTATTCTTCTTATCCAATATTGCCTGGAATAATAACACCAACTAGTGTCATTCCTTACCTTTCTATTTACTTCCACCACCAGATCTAGGTCACAGTTCTGAAGATCAATCAGAAATTACCTCACCTATGGCTATGCTCTGACAGTTTGAGAAAGTCCAAACCCAGGTGCTTCTGTGGCCTAAGGGATAGTATGATATTCCTAAAGATAACTAACCACCAGATAAACATGGCACGTATTCTAGGTTTATTCATTTTAATCAAAGATTTGAGGGATTAAAATTTATTTTTAGATTTTAAAAGGTTCTGTCATATATATGCAAACAAAACCCCCAACTCCTATTCTTTCACAAGAGCCTATAATCTGTTTAGAATAAGTGCCTGTGCAATAGAAAATCTCCCTGGGCCATAAATGATGGAAATATTTGATGTTTTGTTGCTATTGGGGAACTGAGGAGCATTCAATGGCAACTGTCCCAAAATGGGGTGCTTTCCTTTGGCAGTGAAGGCCTGCACATCATGATTTTTGAAAATTAACTAGTTTCCTTATGAAAGAGGGTGTGTGTGTTCTGATTTCAACATACATTTTTATTTGTTTTACTTTTGATCACCAATGGGCTCATCAATAGACTCTACATAGCTAAAAAGAAAAACAAAAACAAGAATCCAGGAACTTGAAGATAGGTCAATAAAAAATTCTCAAACTAAAATGCAAAAGAGAAACAAACAAATACATAGAACAAATCATACAAGAACTGTGAGACAATATAAAAAGGAGTAATGTATGTAACTGGAATGCCAGATGGAGAAGAAAAAGAGAATACAGAATAAATATTCGAAATCATAATGGCTGGAAACTACCCTAAATTAATGACCAACACCAACCTACAGATCCAGAAGCTTAAAAAATGCCATGCAAGACATATACCTAAACACACACACAACACCACAGGCATATAATATTTGAATTAGAGAAAACCAAAGACAAAGAGAGAATCTGAAAGAAGCCAGAGGGAAAACACACCTTAGCTACTATGGAACAAAGATAAAAATTATAGTGGAATTCTAGTCAGAAACCATCCATGCAAGAAGAGAATGGAGTGAAATTTTTGAAGTGTTGGGAAAAAAAAACCACCAACATAGAATTCTAGTAAAATTCAGTAAATTCATTAAAATCATTATTCAAAAGTGAAAAGATCATAGGGGCGCTTGGGTGGTTCAGTCGGTTGAGTGTCTGACTTCAGCTCAGGTCATGATTTCATGGTTAGTGGGTTCGAGCCCCACATCGGCCTCTGTGCTGACAGTCAGCTCAGAGCTTGGAGCCTGCTTCAGATTCTGTGTCTCCCTCTCTCTTTGACCCTCCCCTGCTCATGCTGTCTCTCTCAGAAATAAATAAAACATTAAAAAAACCCAAAACTGAAAAGATCACAATTTTATACTTAACTGTTTCAAAGGATACTATCAAGAAACTAAAAAGACATCCCACAGAATAGGAGGAAAATCTGCAAATCATTTATCTAATAAGGGTAGGCCCAGAATATACCCGGAACTCCTACAACTCAACAACAGACATTAAAAGTAATGTCTATAATAAACAATAAAAAGACAACCCAATTAAAAAATGAGGAAAGAATCTGAAAAGACATTTCTCCAAAAAAAGGTCTACAAATGAAAGGCACACGAAAGATGCTAAAACTGAAGCCACAGTGAGATACCACATCACACACACTAGAATGGCCATAATAAAAAAGATGGGCAGTAACACGTGATGGTAAAGATATGGAGAACTGAGAATCCTTATACATTCCTGGTGAGAATGTAAAACAGTGCAACCACTTTTGAAAGAGTCTGGCAGTTCCTCAAAAAGTAAAACATAGTTACTATGTAATCCAGGAACTCCATTCCTAGGTCTAGAGACAGGAGAATCGAAAAACCTATGTCCACACAAAAATGCATACACAAATCTGCATAGCAGCATTATTTATAATAGAGAAAAAGAAGAAACAACTCAAATTTCTCTCAACTGATGAGCAGATAAATTGTGACACATCTGCACAATGGTGGTACTGAGACCTACAACAACATGGATGAACCTTGAAAACATATGCTAAGTTAGAGAAGCCAGACACAAAAGGCCATACATTGTATGATTTCACTTATATGAAATGTTCAGAATAGGCAAATCCATAAAAAGAAAGATTAGTGGTTGCCAGAGGCTATAGGGAAGAGGGTAATTGGGAGTGACTGCTAATGGGTATGAGGTTTCTTTTGGGATAATGAGAATGTTCTGGAATTAGATAATGGTTATGGTTGAACAGTCTTTTGAACATACTAAAAACAACTGAATTGTGTATTTTAAAAGGGTAAATTTTATGGTATGTGAATTATATCTAAAAAAATCATGAAAGAGAAATAAAGACTTCCTGAGACAGACAAAAACTGAAGGAGTTCATTGCCAGGAGACCTGCCCTGCAATAAATGGTAAAACAAGTTCTCCAGGCAGGAGATAAATGGCATTGGTCAGAAACTTGCATTTCTATAAAGAAAGAAACAGTGGCACAGAAAGAATAAGTGAAGTTAAATTATGTTTTCTTATTTTTAATTGATCCAAAATATAACTGTTGAAGCAATGATTGTAAAAATGTACTGGGTGATTACAACCTATGGATCAGTGGCATGAATGACAGCAATGCCACAGGGACAGCAGGAAGATGCTGGGAATAATCTGCTATAAGGGACCTGCACTACAGGGAAAGTGATAGTATGACTTGAGGGTGGACTTAGAATATTTTATATGTACACTCATATACTAGTTCACAAGACAAGCCTCACGAAATTTCAAAGAATAGGGATTCCTGACCATAGAGCAAATGAGTTAGAAGTTACTTCAAAAATGGGTTAAAATTCCTGCATATTTGGAAATTTAAAAACTTAAATATTCACAGGTGCAAAAACCATAATGGATGTTTAAAAAACTTAGAAACTAATAATGATAAACACTCCATATCAAAACTAATGAACTACACCAAAATCAGTGTTTTGAAGGAAATGTTTAGCCTTAAATACTTTATAAAATTGATGAGTACCTGAAAATTAATGAGCTACATGTCTACTTTAAGTTAGGAAAAGAACTACAAAGCAAAAAGAATGAAGAGAGAAAGACATAATATGAATGGGAGTTAATGTGATTGAAAAAATATCTATAGTAAAGAAAATCAACAAATTCAGAGGTTCATTCCTTGGAAAAACAACACCAAGAAAATTAATAAGCCTCCAGTAAAACTGAATAAGGAAAAGGAGTTAAAGCACAAATAAGTAATATTGTGACTTAAGCAGGCATGATTATAGATAAAACAAACACCAAGATTATAAAATAATACTATCAATGTATGCTAAAAAATTTGAAGTTAGGTGAAATGGACCTTGTAAAGAAATTGTAATTTACCAAAACAATGCAGAAAGATCTGTAAATAGTATGGAAATGAAGGAGTGGTGAAAGTTTTCCCATGAAGGTAACATCTCAGATAATATTCTACCAAACTGAAGAAACATATCATCATAAGCTTAAACTCTTTTCAAAAGTAGAAAAAAAGGAATACTCTACGGTCATTTCAGAAGACCTGTATAACTCTGACACCAATGCCATACAGAATCAAAATAAGAAAGAAAAATAAGGCCATTTCACTCATGAATATACAATCAAAATTCTGAAAAATATACTAGTAAATCAAATCCAACAATGTATTAAAAATAAGATAAAACACCTTGACCAAGTTAGGTTCATCCCAGTATGTAAGGATAAATTAACATTTGTTAAAAAAAACAAAACAACAACAACTATAAATGTTCTTTATTATAATAATTCTAAAAAGAAAAATATATAATTACCTCAATAGATATGGCTGAAACATGTGATAAAATACAACATGAAAACATGATTAAAAGCTTCAGTAAATTAGGAACAGAAGAGAACTTCCATACCCTAATACAGAGTATCTATGAAAACATCTTACAGAAAGTGAAAGAATAATGAATGCAGAGTTCAAATGGGTAAATGGAAACAAGGGTATGAGGTGGGAAAAACCACATATATACACATGAGTTACTGTCAAGGTCCTAATTTTTATAGTGAGTATGGGCTCCCATGGATTCTTATTCTATTACCAAAACCAAGTGACCAAACAAACATGCATGGACCAGTGGGGAGATTATGGTGGACCAGCGAGTCTCAAAGTGTAGTTCCCAGAGATCAGCATTACCTGGAAACTTTTAACAAATATAAATACTCCAGCCCCACTTCTGACCTACTCAATCAGAAACTTTGGGGCTGGGTCCAGAAACATGTGCTTTAACAAGCTTTTTGGGGGATTCTGATACGTGCTAAAGACTGAGCAGCGCTATCATAAACCACAAATTCTGTGGTTTGTGTATACCTACAGTTCAATTAACAAAAGGGAAACACAGCTCATGGCTGCTATGTTCTTGTGTCATGGGAACAACCATTGCACCTTCTCATTTAGTTGAGCTTTAAACTAGATCGGAGACGCCTTGAATGTGACTTACTGATGCCCTGGCAACAAACCTAAAAGGGAGAAAATGAGACCACTATACTATTAAAATCAGCAGTAATTCCTAACACCAGAAACTTGCTACACTTCAATGTAGTCTCATATTTTATTATGGAGCTCTAAAGTCAGAACCACTTTTAGGAAATAACATGACTTCTACAAATGGGGAGAATAGCTTCCAAGAGATTTTCCTACAGTTTGAAATGAAGAAAAGAAGCATATTTGTTCAGCATAGCACAAGCAACATCTAGAAGAGAAAAATCTAGGGAGGAAAAAAAATGTAGAGTTATGTGTCGAGAACTACTGAACACTGCTATTCTGGAGGTATAATATTTCACTGCAAAAGTCCTACTAGAAGCATCTTGTCTATGAATAAGGATTATTATACCTTATGAACCTCTGCCAACTCATGGTCCATTCTTGCTGCCCTCTTGAGAAAACCAGCTTTCGTGGTAGTGACTTTTGGCTTTGGAGGTCTGATTCGGGGTTGTGTCACAAAATCTGGGAGACATGACTCAAGTTCAACTAATCCTATAGGAAGCAAGTACATGTTTTTAGTATTTGGTGATTAAACTTAGCGTTTTGAAAGTATATTTTTAGTTTTGGGAGCTATTTGCCAAGTTGTTTCATTTAGAATATGGATAAGGTATAGCCCACATAATAGCAGTGGCCCCAAAATGTAAAGCAACTTTCTGCATTATTAACTCATGTTCTCAGTGACTTAAGACTGTAAAATGAGAAATTCATTCTAATAAAATATTTCCCTACAAAAACGTAATAAATTCTACAATAATAATCAAGAGAAAATTAATGATCATATGATACATGGGACTATCACTGTAAAGTAGATGTACACAAATTTATCTTATTCTGCTCTGGAGATGATCAACTAGAGCCGCAAGTTCAAGAGTGTGACCATCAACTCATGATCTTGGCCATATATATGATGCTTCAACTTGTCAACTAAAATTTAAATAATCTAAATAAGCCTCTCTTGGACTTTACAAGAGGTGTAGCTCTATGAATTCATCCCCTGGTTATTCATTTCCTTACCCACTAGTTGTCTAGCACTTCCTAAAGGGCTGATTTCATGATTTATTTCTTCTTTGCTTTGGAAACCTGATATAAAAGCTTTTTCAATTTCATTTTTGTGTAACTTTATTAGTGACACTGAACATGTTTAAATGTTTAGTAGCTAAGCACTGATATACTGTTATATAGTATATCCACTTATTTGGGTCTTTGCAGTTTTTATTGGTTTGTATGAACTCAATAATAGTAAATGTGTCCATTGCGATTTCTTGAAAATATTTTTATTTGTTGTTTAGCCTTTAATGCAATACTTGTTTCTCTTCTAGTACTTTAATCTAATACTCCTCTTGTACTGGACTTGTAATCATGTAAACTTCTTACCTTCATAGGTGTTGAGATAGTGGTTTTTTACTATAAAGTCCTCTGAGTTGTTGTCAGGGAAACGACCAAGGCGAGACAAAGGCCCATAGACCTGGGATGCATAGTCAGAATAATCCTTGATGATATTTCTTCTCTCCAACTTCCCTTCTATATTCTTTCCCTTTCCCACAAGTTTCCTGATTGCTAGAATAAAACATACATCCATGACTATTTCCAAAATATTGTTCTGAACAAATGCATAATAATAGACCAGTTATATTTTCATTCACAGGGAAGCTACTGAACTGTGCAGTTATGAAGACCACTCACTACAGACAGAATGTAACACTAAAACCAGAGGTCTGTCATCTGTGTGGCCCAGATCATGAGACAAGCGAGAGTGACAGAAGTTGAGTCAATTAGTGTCCTCAGTGGGTACTTTCAAAAATCTTTTATAACTGGGGTACCTAGATGGCTCAGTCATTTGAGCGTCTGACTTTGGCTCAGGTCATGATCTTCTGGTTTGTGGGTTTGAGCCCCACGTTGGGCTCTGTTCTGATAGCATAGAGCCTGGAACCTGCTTTGAATTCTGTGTATCTCTCTCTCTGCTCCATGCCCGCTTGTGCTTACTCTCTTGCTCTCTCTCTGTCTTCCTCTCTCTGCTCCTTGCCTGCTTGCTCTCTCTCTCAAAAATAAATAAACGTTAAATTTTTTTTAAAAAATCTTGTGTAACTGCATTCCAAGCTCTGAGGCAAGAAAGTGTATTCGGTAAGAGTCTTCCAGGCTAACAAAAGAAACTCAAAGTAACTGAAAAATACATATTCAGTGGAGATTTAGAGATTTATTTTCTCTTAGGAGAATAACTGCAAGGGAGGGAAGACTACAGGTTCTTCAGTAATCTGTCCATCTTGGTTAACCACAGAATAAAGCACAATATATTCTAGCTTAGAGCCCTCAAAAGGGTTTGGCAGTCAGAGGGAAAAGGCTCAACTGCACATTCAGAGTTCACTCATCCAAGGAGTCATGCTTGCTACCTCTGTCTGCTCTTTCTTTCAGTCCTATCACAGAGCAATCCGGTTTGAAGGCTCTACGCTGTGTTCTCTCAATGCATGCAAAGTCATAATGTGGGACTGCGAAGTCTTGTTGCAAGAGGTGGCTGCATGCGCCACTACTGCCTTGTGGGTGTTTATGTTTGATCCTCAGTGCTTCTCTGTGTGACTTGGGGTTTTAGAATTAAATAAAAATAGTTAATGTTTTGTTATTTATCGACCAAAGTTAGTCAACTCATTATTAGTTATGCGAAGTACTGAAAAGAAAAATGTTGACAATGTCTAACTACATACCTAGAAGCTAGTTAAAAGTTGTTTTCTCACACACACAGCAAGTTCAGGGGCATATAAGTTAAGCAGATAATAAGAACCTCACTTAAGGTGGGGAGGGAGTGGGGTCCTTGAAGGGCTCCCTGAGGAAGTGACATTTCTGTCTTAGCCTGAGTTCCCCCAAAGGCAGAGCATGAGACAAAATAAATTGTGCAGGTAGTTTATTTGGGAGGTGATCCCAAAGGGCAGGAAGAGAGGGACAGGGGGAGTTAAGAAAAAAAAAGCTAGTTGACCCATTGTTAGGACTGTGAAGTGCTGAAAAAAAGATGTTGATGATATCTAAGTGTATACTTAGCATCTAGTTAAGTCAAAAATTATTTTCTCACATCAAGAAAAAGTTAAAGTTAGGTTCACTAAAAAATAATTTCAAGGAATTAATTTTTACAACTGTTTTGCTAGAAAAATAACAAATTTAAGTTGTAATTACATTCTATTATTATACATATAAATTGCTAGTTTGCATATATAATTGATGCATTAAAGTTTTATAAGTAAATTATATTAAAAGTTACTAAGCAAATAAAGCTATAAATACTAATAAGTTAAATTTTTTTTAAAGTTTTTATACAATCCTTTTTAAAAAAAAATTTTTATATAGTCATTCTTACTTAATCATCCGCTGACTGCTCCTTTTATGTGTACAGATATAGTACATAAACAGATATACAACATATCCATGGTATTAAAATTTCATGGGAGGGGGTAAGCAGGAGAAAAGATGTCTACATGTCTCATTTAAGGGCAATAATTTTTAAAAAGGTTGAGAAATTGGGCTCTCTGTCCAGGACCTCAACCCATTAATATGGATGGGATGCCCAAGTCCTACTCTCTCTCTTTCTCTCTTTCTCTCACACACACACATGCATGCACGCACACACACCAATAATGTCAATAACTTGACTATCTGTTAGAATATCATTATTTGGTTTTCTTAGTGAGAAATTTTCCTCCAGCCTTCTACTTTTGAAAATAACTCTTTTCCTTTACTCATTCAATAACACTAGGATTCATAAGAATTGTATCTAAATCAGGTTTGGTCAAAGATTCAAAGCAAAGCCAACTTTCCTATTCTGTTCATTGTTCATACTGACTTTACCTGATACATGTTTCTGCTGAATCCGTGCCAATTTTGCCTCCTTTGCTTCCTGCAGTTTAGACCACTGGGCATTCAAGTGTTTCATGTTCACTTCATTTTGATTCTTTACACGCTTCCTCAGCAGCTCTTTTAGGACTTCCAGGCGAATCTCCTGTAGTCTTTGAGTAAATTACCAAACATAAAGAAGTATGTGGTATCTCCAACAGACTGTTCTACTAGACAGAAAGGGAACACCTGCCATAAACAAGATCTTCTCTTTGAACTGGTATCATATTCATGTATTTTAAAAAAAACATTCTGGCAAAAGTGTGACAGATAGATTGGGTGTTTGGGGGAGGTAACTCAACAGCGGGTCTCTCCATAACAGGAATATGTCTGGGTGTAGTTCTGAAAGGCAAAAAAGAGTATGCTAGGTTAAAAAAAAAAAAGGCTCTCTAGGCAGATGGGCCTAAATGAACAACAAAATGTATGTGCACAGTTCAGGGTCAACAGATGTTGGCTAGAAGGTTAAGTAACAGAAGTGAAGAGAAAATGAGGCAGATGCTATCTTAAGGAATAAATGGGAAAATGCCAGGGTCTGGTATATACAGATGCTCAGTCAATCTTTGCCTCCCTTCCCCTCACCTTCCCCTCATTCAGCCAGAGCTATTTGCTCATGTGTATACAACCATGTACAGATGACTTCAAAATCTGTACCTCAAGGCCAGGTATTTCTGAGCCAGAATCCTTGTCTACCTGAATTTCCAGCTATCCCCTGACAACTGAAAAAAACCCTGCTCATTTTGTTCCCCCGGAAATCTACTCCTTCTTATATCTTCTTCCCTCCCCTATTGATTCCTCTTCTAAAGCACTTCTTGTATCCATTCCCTAGCTCATGTTTTTGTCAACCCTCTCCTAACTTGGAGTCTAGTTGCTAATCTAGTCTCTCCTCCTTCCAATCTTGCGCCTCACAGCTGCCAAGATTTTCCTTCCTAAAATAGAATTTGAACATTTTACTCTTACTTAAAAATTCATAGAGTAATTCATTCAGCAACTCATTTGTCAAATATTTATTAAGTGCTCACCATATGCCAGGCAGGAAATAAACTATGATGAACAAGATAAAACACCTTCTCTCAGGAAGCACTGTTCTGGGGCGCCTGGGTGGCTTAGTCGGTTAAGCGTCCGACTTTCGCTTAGGTCACGATCTCGCGGTTCGTGAGTTCGAGCCCTGCGTCGGGCTCTGTGCTGACTGCCAGCTCAGAGCCTGAAGCCTGTTTCAGTCTGTGACTCCCTCTCTCTCTGACCCTCCCCTGCTCACGCTGTCTCTCTCTCTCTCCTAGAAATAAATAAAACATTAAAAAAAAAGAAGCACTGTTCTACTGGAGCAGACATATCAACTAACATTTTATAAGACAAGGAGATAAATACTGGACCAAAAGAATAAAAAGACTGTGGGAGAAGAAATGACAGAGCATCTATGTTTAGCACTACTTCCAGTAGATGCGGGGAAGGTAGGAAAGACTTCCTTACAGGAGCCATTTACTCTGTAGTCTTGAGGATAAACAAGGATTGAGATACCACATTGACAAGGAAAAAAACGAGGCCCCAGGAGAGGAAGCTGAATGTTCAGCTCAAAGGACTAAAGACAGAACAAATATGTCATGCTGGTGGAGCTTCTCAAAGTGATTGTACAGGGGAAGGTGTAGACGTAGTAACATATGAAAATGGAAAACAGGTATTATTTAAAAACTAAGCCACACACCAATAGTCACCTTTCTCTCTGGAGTTAGAAATCCAAGTTTCAGTTCTCAGTTTTCATCACTTATCTCAATTCCTTCAGCCATAAATTGATATAAAAGAAACTATCCCATAAGGTTGTTCTAAGCATTAAATGAGTTAATGTCTACAATGTGGTAGAACAGTGGTTCCCAAACCTGAGCATGCATCAGATTACCTGAAGCCTACTGCCTAACTCGGTAGGTCTGGGGTGGGGCCTGAAAATCTGCATTTCTAACAAGTTCCCCGGTAATGCTAATGCAGCTGGGTTGTGTACCACACTTTGAGACCTCCTGGCTTGGAACAAACATGGCTCCAGTACGTAGTAAGCACTCCACATGTGTAACATGCTCTATGAGCATCATCATCATCATCGTCACTAATATTATTATATACCTGATGGTTTCTTACCCTTCAACACCCAGCTCAGAGGCTACCTTCTCTGTTTTCCCAAATCTCCACTCACCCCAAGCCGAAATAGCCAGAAATATTTTAATGTTTTAATGTCCTTCTGATAAGAATATACCTCTCCAAATTGCAGCACTAAATTTAATTTTCTACAGACAGAATTGGGTACCTGATGATACTACTTTGCCCCAAAGTACATTACATTCTATTTAGCTGCAAGCTTTTACCAAAATATCACACAGTCTGAATTCAGGATTAAAAGAAGGTGTTGTAAAAAGATAAACATAATTTGAATTCAGAATCACATTGAGTCTAACTCTCCTGTGTCTTAACTCTCCTTCAGGCAAGCACGCTGTCAGGGGCCGTGGTAGCATTGCTATGAGTAACAAAGTGCCTCTGTGCAACCTGGAACAAAGGACAACCTCAACAAGTTCCCTTCCTTTTCTTTCTTTCTTGCTGTAGACCTGTAATTTGGGGAATTTCATCATTTCTACACCTTCCAAGGACAGCCTCATTACTGAAAATACATCAGTTAAATGACTGAAAACCAAAAGTACCTCAGCATATTGTTGTTTATGAGTTCATTTCCTAACTGAGGAATTCCACACTTTTGTCTTTTAAGTAGAAAATGCCCTGTTAGCTGTAGCTAGAACCCAAGTCATCTTGACTATGAATCCAGTACAAGGGGGAATAGGAGACAGTATTAGCTAGGAGGCTGATGGATATGAAGAGGGCAAAGGCCTAGGCAAAATGGCATTGGGAATTAACAGAAAGGGTCAGTTTGACTGGTGCAGCCACTCTGGAAAACAGTATGGAGATTACTCAAAAAAATTAAAAATAGAACTGCCCTACGACCCAGCAATTGCACTACTAGGTATTTATCCAAGGAATACAGGTATGCTGTTTCAAAGCGGCACATGCACCCCAATGTTTATAGTAGCATTATCAACATTAGCCAAAGTATGGAAAGAGCCCAATGTCCATGATGGATGAATGGGTAAAGATGTAGTATATATATACAATGGAGTATTTACTCAGCAATCAACAAGAATGAAATCTTACCATTTGCAACTATGTGGATGGAACTAGAGGGTATTGCTAAGTGAAATTAGTCAGAGAAAGAGAAATATCATATGACTTCATCCATATGAGGACTTTAAGATACAAAACAGATGACCATAAGGGAAGGGAGGCAAAAATAATATAAAACCAGAGTGGGACAAAACATAAGAGACTCTTAAATATGGAGAACAAACAGAGGGTTACTGGATGGATTGTGGGACGGAGGGTGGGTTAAATAGGTAAGGAGCATTAAGGAATCTACTCCTGAAATCATTGTTGCACTATATGTTAACTAACTTGGATATAAATTTAAAAAGTAAATTTAAAAAAATTAGTAAAAACTACTGAAAAATTTAAATGCTCAAAATCTTTTTAGTTACCAACTATTGTTAGAAATAATTGGGAGAGGGGTGCCTGGGTGGCTCAGTAGGTTAAGCGTCCAACTTCAGCTCAGGTCATGATCTCACAGTTGGTGGGTTCGAGCCCCAAGTCGGGCTCTGTGCTGACAGCTCAGAGCCTGGAACCTGCTTCAGATTCTGTGTCTCCCACTCTCTCTGACCCTCCCCTGCTCACACTCTCTCTCTCTCTTTCTCAGAAATAAATAAAACATTAAAAAAAATAAAAAAAAGAAATAATTGGAAGAAATATACACTTGAATTAAAAGAAAAAAATAAAGAAATAAAAAGGGAAAAAGAACTAAAATATGGTACAAGGCAGGTATACCTTGAACACATGTGAAAATAACCAGTTAAAAAAGACCATATACCTCATGATTCTATGCATATGAAATTTCCAGTAAAGACAAATACCAAGAGACAGAAAGTAGGTGAATATTTGTAAAAGATGGTGGAAGGGGGAAATGGAAAGTTTCTTTAATGGATTAGAATTTCTTTAACATTTCTTTCTTGGAGTGGGGAAAGTTTTATAAAATTAGATAGTGATGATGGAAATACAACTCTGTGAATATAGTAAAAATGACTAAAATGTGCATTTTAAAATGGTGAACTCTATGATAGATGAATTGTATCTCAATAAAACTGTTAAAAATAAAAATTTTTTAAAAAGAGTCAGTTTGAAAGACATTTGCAGAAAGCAGTGGGATTCTGAAATAGTCTAAATTAGATTTTCCCTAAAGAGAAAAGGGAAGTGAAGAATCACTGAATGCTTTGAGGAATTCTTTAAATCGGCGTTCCATGTTTAACTTTACACACAATGAGGGCATTATAGACTTTTATATTATTAGAGAGAAAATTATAGAGCTATTATTCCTGAAGGAACCAGCAACCCAATTTCCTATCTCTACAGTTGGAGGGTTCCTTCTGAGCCCACATATTTGGGAAAATCCTTTACAGATAAAAAGTATTTAAGGGGCACCTAGGTGGCTCAGTAGGTTAAGCGCCAATTTTGGCTGAGCTCATGATCTCACAGTTCAAGCCCCACATTGGGCTCTGTGCTGACAGCTCAGAGCCTGGAGCCTGCTTGTGATCCTGTCTCCTCTCTCTGTCCCTCCCCCACTCATGCTCTGTCTCTCGCTCTAAAAAATAAAATAAACATTTAAAAAAAAAAAAAGTATTTACATGACTCCACCAGTGCAGGTGTAGATGTCTGGGTAATCTAGAACTTACTTTTCAATCTCCTGCTCTCTGAAGGCCCATTCCTTCCTCTCCATCGCATTCATCATCCTCCTCCGCTTCTCAAACTGGGAGGTGTCACTCAGGCAGGGAAGAGTGGCTTCCCAAGCACGCTTCTCCCGGGCACGTTCTATCATCTCAACCTCAGCCTGTCCTGCTGGGAGCCCTCGACCTGGATGACGAAGCAAAGCACTTTAGAAACACAAGGACAAACCCATGTTCCTTTCAGTATTTAATTTACTCCCTTTCAGTTTCTGTCCTTTTTAAATTCAAGGGTTAAGACAGGATGAAATGATATTGGGAAACAAGCTGTGCCCTGTACTGCCTCTTGTTATTCAGCCAGAAGACATTTTGGCTATCCATAACATGCTAGACAGTATTTCAAAAATATTATGTGACTACTGAATAATCATACCTTGAAATGCCCTATATTAGACAAATCAGTATTTTGAAATGCAAAAAAATACCAAAGTAACTTACAGCTGGTAAGTGATTAAAATCAGGATTTGAACATGACAATCTGACCCTTGTGGTTTTATGTACTACTCTATACTTCCTATTAGAGAAATAAAAACAAAAATGAATTATACAGACAAGCCAACAGTTAATCACATTCAACAGTGAGTTGCAAGCTTTTCCTCTAAGATCAGTAACAAAACAACAGCCTACTCTTATCACTACTATTCAACATAGTACCGGAAGTCCTACCCAGAGTAATCAGGCAAAAAAGAAATAAAAGCCAACCAAGCTGAAAAGGAAGTGGTAAAATGGTCTCCATTTGCAGATAACATGATTTTATATATAGAAAACTATAAAGGCTATCAAAATGGTTAGACTAACATATGAATGCAGTAAAGTTGCAGAATACAATATCAACATATAAAAATCAGATGCATTTTAAATACTAACAATAAACTACAAGAAATAAAGAAAATAATGCCATTTACAAAAATAATAGGAACAAATTTAACCAAGGAAGTAAAAGATCTATATAATAACTATAAACTAAACTTTATAATTTATAAGAACTATAAAACATAATGAAAGAAACTGAGGATGACAAAAATAAATGGAAAAATATTCCATATTCATGGATTGGAAGAATTAATATTGTTAAAATACTCATACTATGCAAGGCCATCCACAGATTTGATATAATCCCTAATAAGGATCCCAATGACATTTTTTCACCGAAATAGAAAAGCAAAATTCCTATGGAACCAAAGAGCCAAAGGCAACCTTGAGAAAGAAAAACAAAGCTGAAGGCATCATACTTTCTGGTTTCAAAGTATATTATAAAACTACAGTAACCAAAACAGTATAGTACTGGCATAAAAATAAACACAAAGACACAAACAGAATCAAAAGCCCAGAAATAAACCCATATATAGTCAACTAATATTTGACGAGGAGGCCAAGAATACTCAACAGGCAAAAGATATCCTCTTCAATAAATGGTAATGGAAAAATTGTTTATTCACATGCAAAAGAGTGAATAAGTTCTAGAGATCTAATGTACAGCATGGTGATGCTAGTTAACAATAATATAGTATATAATTGAAAGCTGCCAAGAAAGCAGTTCTTAAGTGTTTTACACACACCAAAAAAAAAAAACAAAAAACAAAATGGTACTATGTGAGGTAATAGGTGTGTTAAATAATCTTATTGTGGTAATCATTTTGCAAAAAATACGTATATAAAGTCATGGTGTCGTGTGCCCTAAGTTTACACAATATGTCAAATATATCTCAGGAAAGCTGGGGAAAAATGAACTATTCATAAGTAACAATATAATAATCTTTTAATATTTCCATCATATTTTCCTGTATCATTTTGCAGCTTGCTTTTTTACTCAACTTTGTTTTGTGGATGCTAGTCATACTGAGACAAGAGGTCTAATATCATTCTTACATTGCAGGACTCTACCAAAATTTAAGCTACCTTCTCAAAAGTGATGTTTTAGATTGCTTCTAAGTTTTTGATTACACATAGTAATGCTGCAACAAACATCCTTGTACTGGTCTCCTTAGGCCCATATGCAAATTTCTGTAATTCTTAGAAGGATCTAAAAGTCTAGCAACTAGATCATGAAATATAATCATTTAAAATTTTTCTGAATACTGCCAAATTTGCCTCCCAGAAGTATAATTTTGCTCAAGCCTTCTGAGATTCCCTGGTGCTCTCCCACAGCCCATGCTTCCTTCCTTCCTCCCACATTGTTTCTGCCTAACCTCATTTGCTTTTTGTAGTCCTAACAAATACTTAATACTAGTTCACAGATTTTTAAAAAAATATCACTGAAAGTGTAATCTGTGGTAGTTATATTGTACTTGTTGCTTTTGTATGATTTATGGGAAAAAAAGAGGAAAGAGACTGAATTACATAGGCACAGCTATGCTCGGAATAGGGATTTGTATTACAATTACTTGAAGGTATAAAATGTTTAGGGGAGAAATCCTATGTATTTAAGCATAACTCTTCCCATTTATTAACATGGTATTCCTCCCATTTTATCAAATATTTGTTCATGTGCTTAAGGAATAATTTACATTTTTCTCCATAATGCTGTGCACATGTTTTTCTTAAATGACATTCCTAGGTACTTTGTTATTTGTCAGTATTAAAAATATGATATTTTCAATTATATGTTTCTTTTTTTTTTTACTTTTTTTTAATGTTTTATTTATTTCTAGGAGAGAGAGAGAGAGAGACAGCGTGAGCAGGGGAGGGTCAGAGAGAGAGGGAGATACAGACTCTGAAACAGGCTCCAGGCTCTGAGTTGGCAGTCAGCACATAGCCCGACGCGGGGCTCGAACCCACGAACCGCGAGATCATGACCTAAGCGAAAGTCGGACGCTTAACCGACTAAGCCACCCAGGCGCCCCTTCAATTATATGTTTCAATTCTAATTAAATGTTGTTCATATATAGGAAAGATACTGATCTTTGCATAATGATTCTATAATCAGCTACCTTGTTGGACTTAGGTTCTTAGTTCTGGTGATTTGTTACTTCATTCGATTTTCCAAATGAGTACATTGTCTGCAAATAAAGATAGTTATGCTTCTTATTTCTAATCTTTATACCTCAATTTTTCTCTCTTTACTGCAGGGACTTAGTATTTCTCAACCAAAATGATATTACTGCTACTTTCAGTGAACAATTCTTTTTTTTTTTTTCTTAAATAGTTTATTGTCAAGTTGGTTTCCATATGGAATCCAGTGCTCATCACAACAAGTGCCTCCTCCATGCCCATCATCATCAGCTCCCTCTCCCCAACCCCCATCAGCCCTCAGTTTGTTCTCAGCATTCAAGAGTCTCTCATGGTTTGCCTGCCTCCCTCTCCCCAACTATTTGTCCCATTCTTCTCCCTCATGGTCCTACCTTAAGTTCCTCCTAATCCATCTATATGTGCAAATATATGGTATCTGTCCTTCTCTGCCTGAATTATTTCACTCAGCATAACACTCTCAAGGTCCATCCATGTTGCTATAAATGGCCAGATTTCATTCTTTCTATTTGCCATGTTGTATTCCATTGTATAGATAAACCACATCATCTTGGTCAGTTGATGGACACTTAGGCTCTTTCCGTGTTTTGGCAATTGATGAGAGTCCTGCTATGAACATTGGGGTCCATGTGCCCCTATGCATCAGCACTCCAGTATCCCTTGGATCAATTCCCAGCAATGCTATTGCTGGGTCATAGGGGAGTTCTATTGTTAATTTTTTGAGGAACCTCCACACTGTTTTCCAGAGGAGTTGCACCAGTTTACATTCCGACCAGCAGTGTAGGAGGGTGCCTGTTTCTCCACAACCTCACAGCCATCTAGAGTCTCCTGATTTGTTCATTTTAGCCACTCTGATCAGCGTAAGGTGGTAGCTCAGTGTGGTTTTGATCTGTATTTCCCTGATGATGAGGGACGCTGAGCATCGTTTCATGTGCCTGTTGACCATCTGGACGTCGTCTTTGGAGAAGTGTCTGTTCCTGTCTTCTGCCCATTTCTTCACTGGATTATTTGTTTTTCAGGTGGGGAGTTTGGTGAGTTCCTTATAGATTTTGGATACGAGCCCTTTATCTGATATGTCATTTGCAACTATCTTTTCCCATTCAGTCAGTTGCCTATCAGTTTTATTGATTGTTTCCTTTGCAGAAGCTTTTTATCTTGATGAGGTTCCAATAGTTCATTTTTGCTCTTGATTGCCTTGCCTTTGGGGATGTATCAAGTAAGAAAATGCTGTGGTTGAGGTCAAGGAGGTTGTTTCCTGCTTTCCCCTCTGGGGTTTTGATGGTTTCCTGTCTCACATTCAGGTCCTTCATCCATTTTGAGTTTATTTTTGTGTATGGTGTAAGAAAATGATCTAGTTTCATTCTTCTGCATTTTGCTGCCCAGTTCTCCCAGCATCATCTGTTAAAGAGGCTGTCTTCTTTCCATTGGAAACTCTTTCCTGCTTTGTCAAAGATTAATTGGCCAAACATCTGTGGGTCCGATTCTGAGTTCTCTATTCTCTTCCATTGGTCTATGTGTCTGTTTTTGTGCCAATACCATACTGTCTTGATGACTACAGCTTTATAGTAGAGGCTAAAGTCTGCGATGGTGATGCCTCCCGTTTTGGTTTTCTTCTTCAATATTACTTTGGCTATTCGGGGTCTGTTGTGGTGCCATATAAATTTTAGGATCTAAGTTTATTCTAGTTTTGTGAAGAATGCTGGTGCAATTATAATTGGGATAGCACTGAATGTGTAGATTGCTTTGGGTAGTAAGGATATTTTAACACTATTTATTCTTCCGATCCATGAGCATGGAATGTTTTTCCATTTCTTTCTATCTTCTTCAATTTCCTTCATAAGTTTTCTATAATTTTCAGCATACAGATCTTTGACATCTTTGGTTAGGTTTACTCCTAGGTATTTTATGGCTTTTTGTGCAATTGTGAATGGAATCAGTTTCTTGATTTCTCTTTCTGTTGCTTCACTATTGGTGTATAAAAATGCAACCGATTTCGGTACACTGATTTTGTACCCTACAACTTTGCTGATTTCATGGATCAGTTCTGGTAGCTTCTGGTGGAGTCTGTCAGGTTTTCTATGTAGAGCATCATGTTGTCTGCGAAAAGTGAAAGTTTGACTTCTTCTTTACCAATTCTGATGCCTTTTATTGCTTTTTGTTGTC